CAAGTTTCATTAAAACTTTGCGAAGAATGATTGAGATGTTAGTCGTTAATGATGTAGGCTGTAATTGTAGTACCGTTAGCTTCATCAAACGTTATTGCAACATATAAATCCTGATTTTAAATAGGTTTTTTTTATCTGCCACTATACGCTTATTTCACGCAGGCGCCATTTTAACGGATCAAAGCGAGGCTGCGATGGGAAGAAACCCGGAAATATAGGACCTGCACTGTAAACATTGCAGCAACATGCTGTGGACTACAAACCTCCAGCTGTTGCCGAGATTTTAAAATGCAGAAATGGTGTAAACATCACTTTAATATTATTCAGTAAGTTTAATTTAAACAAATAAAAGCAAATTAGGCATTAAACATCATGGTAATCTCTGTAGGAGTAATATGCTCAAGTGTCCTCCAAAACTTCAGTTCTTGGCACCAGTTAAAGGGTCACGAAACACCAAAACACATGTTTTGAGCTGTTGACAGTCGTATATGTGTCCCACACTGCTAAAAACACTATTAGGACACCTATATTTCACTAAAAAGTGTAAATTGGTTGTTTTTGCGTTATTTCAAGCAAATTCGTACTTCCGGTTTGAAACGAATTTTTGAAGCTGCGTCACGGTCATGACATAATAGCGTGTATTCCAGCATGTAGACTGGACGTCTGAGCCAGAGTGTGTCTTATTACGTCTTACAGTGTGTTGCATTAATGCATGAGTAAGGCTTGGTTCAAACCAATCAGTGCGCTCTATTGTGCAACTTCATTAATATTCATTACTGTCACAGTGTTTAGACGACAGAGACGCCACGTTGTGTTGGCAAAACAAGCGTGAAGTGTTGCTTTTATAGTTTGCTGCAGTTAAGTTTTGTTTTCATTTTCTCTCTGTGAGAGCGCAGCTGGAGTCATGTGTGGATTAACAGTGTACGCGACGCTCGACAACAATAACTTACGTGTCTAAGGAGGATTATTGTTTACCTGAGAGCTGTTCTCATCTGCAAATGCTGAGATCCGGATTCGCTTGTAGTCTCCTCTAAATAAAGACGCGGCTCTAGTTGCTGGTGATTGTCCTGTCTCTACAGATTTGGTAAGTGAGCGACCAGTGCTCTTTGTTTGTTCAGTTTTTTCGTATCGAAAAAACTTTTGCACAGAGTGTAAACATGTTAGCACTACAACCAAACTTTAACCTCGTGTAGGATTTTCACCGCATTTTGTGAGCGGAATAACACACGCGGCTTTCTGACGCTACCTGCTGTGTGCATCTAAGTTTCCAGGAAATGCAGAGGGTTTTTTTCTTTCATTCGCCGTGCGGTATCAAACATTGCATGAAAATACGGGCTTAGAGCAGTTCCTCGAATCAAATATCTCATTTGTGGTGAGGAACATGAATGAATTCCCTGAATCAAAGAGCCAAACTGCAGTTAAAGTCCACCATTTAATAATTTGGCAAATAATTTGACTACAGATGTCCATGTAAACACAGTCACATTGTCCTCTGTGGTTGTGTGTGTTTTGACTCTGAAATTCAGCGCGCCCAAATAGACACTCCCACACCAAGCCTCTTTTCTTCCTCCGACACTCCCCCCTAAACAGAGCTGGACACGCCCACTTTTCTGACTTTTTCCAAAGTAGAGGTGTGAAAACACCCTGCTGAAACGAGGGGGTTTCATGGCCCTTTAAACACCGTGGGGACGCTTTCCTGCTTCAGCCTATATAACCCGGTGAGTGATAAAACACTGCAGTCCTCTGCAGCACACCCTCGTGTTTTCTGTAATAGTGTTATCCCGGTACTGAAGTTTTAAAACCGGCTAACATTGAAGCGCCGCTGAGCGCAGATGACTCGACTGATCTTCGCGGCTGCTTTGCGCTCCAGTCTCCGTGTATCTGTGTTTGCACTCAGTTTTCCACTCTTCACCCAGTGCAAACACAGATACACAAAGACTGGAGCGCGAAGCAGCCGTGAAGATGTTCACTGCTTGTCTGTGTTTATGCTCAGTAAACAGCGGTGGGTGAACTGATGACCTTCTCGGCCAATCACAAGCATTTCTGTTGAACACGTGAACACAATGGCAAATCAGTGCTGTTTTAAAGGGCCATGAAACCCCCTCGTTTCAGCAGGGTGTTTTCACACCTCTACTTTGGAAAAAGTCAGAAAAGTGGGCGTGTCCAGCTCTGTTTAGGGGGGAGTGTCAGAGGAAGAAAAGAGGCTTGGTGTGGGAGTGTCTATTTGGGCGCGCTGAAATTCAGAGTCAAAACACACACCCAACAGGGGAGAAAGTGACTGTGTTTACATGGACATCTGTAGTCGAATTATTTGCCAAATTACTAAATGGTGGACTTTAACTGCAGTTTGGCTCTTTCATTCAGGGAATTCATTAATGTCCCTCCCGACAAACGAGATATTTGATTGGAGGAACTGCTCTAAGCGTGTATTTTTCATGCAATGTCTGATACCGCACGGCGAATGAGAGAAAAAAAAACTCAGCATTTCCCGGAAACTTAGATCCACTCGGCAGGTAGTGTCAGAAAGCCGCGTGTGTTATTCCGCTCACAAAATCCAACACGAGGTTATAGTTTGGTTGTAACTGTTAGTGCTAACTATTGCACTCGGTGCAATAGTTTGTTTGATACGAATAAAATACGAACTGAATAAACAAAGAGCACTGGTCGCTCACTTACCAAATCTGTAGAGACAGATTCACCAGCAACTAGAGCCGCGTCTTTATGAAGAGAAGACTACAAGCGAATCCAGATCTTTTTTTTGTTTGCAGATGAGAACAGCTCTCAGGTAAACAATAATCCTCCTTAGACACGTAAGTTATTGTTGTCGAGCGTCGCGTACACTGTTAATCCACACGTGAGTCCTGAGCTCTTACAGAGAGAAAATGAAAACGAAACTTAACTGCAGCAAACTATAAAAGCAACACTTCACGCTTGTTTTGCCAACACAACGTGGCGTCTCTGTCGTCTAAACACTGTGACAGTAATGAATATTAATGAAGTTGCACAATTGAGCGCGCTGATTGGTTTGAACCAAGCCTTACTCATGCATTAATGCAGCACACTGTAAGACGTAATAAGGCACACTCTGGCACAGACGTCCAGTCTGCACGCTGGAATACACAATATTATGTCATGACCGTGACGCAGCTTCAAAAATTCGTTTCAAACCGGAAGTACGAATTTGCTTGAAATAACGCAAAAACAACCAATTTACACTTTTTAGTGAAATATAGGTGTCCTAATAGTGTTTTGAGCAGTGTGGGACACATATACGACTGTCAACAGCTCAAAACATGTGTTTTGGTGTTTCGTGACCCTTTAAGAAAGCCATCAACAGTGCCTTAAATGTTGGCGGGAAACTGACGTTTTTTCTTTGAATTCAGTATCGTGACGAGTCTAATATAGTGAAAGAATCAGTTCATCAACTCGAGTTTGATAAATGGCATCTAAAACGTGTGTTTGGGAAAGAAAACGCAAGCTAACTAGTGCCATTTTCCTTAACTTAGCTGAAAATGAATTCTGAAATCCCTTTTTACTTTCACCATTCATTCAGAACGGACCTTCGGCTCACTCGGAAGGTGGTGGAATATTACATTTGTGTCACTTTATCTTCGCTGAGAAGATATACAGCCAGGATCACAACGTTCCTATGCAACTCCCAACAATACTTCCGGGTTTCTTCCCACCGTAGCCTCTACTTCGCTTTTAAAAATGGCACGTGAAATCAGTCTATAGACCTTTTTCATGGCTGCTGTATGGAGGGCGCCATAGCGACCAGCGTCTTCCGGTCGAATGCTAAAAACTTCCGTTTACAGCGTTTACAACTGGTAATTTGCGCTCCGAAAAATGGGTTTCAATAACGTTTTTAATATATTACAGAGTGTTTTTGTGACACACAACTTAGAAATGTGTCTGTGAAAGCTGTTATAATCTGTCACATGTGGTTCAAGCGCGTCAGAAATACGAGAAAAACTTTCTCCTAGTTCACGTGTCTGCCGTCAGAAATACAGTGTGTGTGTGCGTTCCCGGCTCTTTAACACACACACACACACACACAGAGAGAGAGAGAGAGCAAACCAGAGTACTGGCATGAAACTTAACAGGTATGAAAGTCGTGCAATTTACAAAAATGAGCAATAAAAGTCTGTTATTGATCCTCTGCTGCTGATTTTCTGTTCATTCTAATCGCGAGCCGTTTGTGTTTTATTTCGTGTGTTGTTTTCACCACGGTTTGTGTTTTTCTGTCATTTCGAAATGACACTAGCCTATATTTTCACTTTGTCTCAGTTATTAAATCAGTGTGTCATTGGCACATGTACAGGCTACGTGTGTGTGTGTCAGACATTTAGGTGAATAATATTTGTTTGGGCTGATTATATATTTGAAATAAAGAGAAAATGTTGACTTTAGCGATGACGAGGCTTCATTTAAACTGCAGAAGATGCCGTCTGACGAGGGGAAAACGCCTCACAGCAGCTGTTTTCCATCCTATTAGATCGCATTTCTTTAAATGATCAGTCCAGGAGATGCTGCTGATGGACAACAGTATTAGTTCAAAGAGGATAAAAGCAGGTAAAATAGATTAAAACTATCGTTTCAAAGCTGTCCAAATGTGACTGTTTACACGCATCAGCTGCCGACCGGAAGTTCTTTGCATTCTCCTTGCGCATACACGCAAAGCATACTGGGTAATTTTGCGTTCCAAGAAAAAGGTCTATAGTTAAATCAGGCTACACACACAGTCGTACACACACAGTAATTTCTGCATATTAATCTAAGATAGAAAAAAAAGAACTCACACTTGCAGGGACACTCGTTTGTAAACATGATTAAAAAGTTATTACACTCTTGTTACAATTATGACGATTACTAAAATCTGATCTGTAGGATGCTGAGGCTGTGGATGTTTCTGTCCTCAGAGTCAGTGTCGTCTGCTCATAATAGCTCGCCTGGACTGAACTGTTAGCAGCAGCAAACGATGACAGCAGGATTGTGATTGATTAATGTTTCCTGGTGAGTTTGTTTTTGGCTGTGAGCTGTTCAACTTCCCTCATGAAGCGCAGACACATTTCATCCTGCCACGGCAGAGACACACACTGAACCGCCACCGGGAGACCAACGCCACCCTTTACTGCCTGAAACACACACACACACACTCATACATGAGTACACAAACACACATGCATACACATATGCACTCACATACATGCATGCACAAACACACACACATTGACGGACAAGCATGCACGCACAAACATGCATAGACAAGCACACAAAAATGAACATGGACACATGTAGACACATGCGTGCACACAACTTATCCATGTGTGTATGGACTAACACAGATGCACACACACACACACACACATACATGCATGGAAAGTTTAGTGCTTGTGTATATCTTCCATATATATAAATATATATAATCAGTGTAAAAGAGATGGGGTGCGGCTGGAAAGGCATCCGCTGCGTAAAAACGCGCTTGATAAGTTGCCGGTTCATTCCGCTGTGGCGACCCCGGATTAAAAAAGGGACTAAGCCGAGAGGAAAATGAATGAATGAATGAATATATAACCAGGAACAAATGTCTCCTTAATATGACAATAAAATAATAAATAATGTCAAATATGACTCAACATGTTGCACACAAGTGCATTCTACATCACTAGGAGGGATTTGTCCCAAACACACACGTCTGCTGCTTGCTGTGTGCTTTTTTGACTATGCTGCCTCCTAGTGGTAACTCAGGACAATAATTTAACCAAAAAAAAATTTTTTTTTAAGAAAAACAAGGTGAATTATTACAAAAAGGATTTGACAAGACTTCTTCTTTTTTTTGTTACATTTTTCCCCCATGAACAACCTCCCTCCCCTTTAAAAAAACAAATAAATAAATAAACAAATAATAAAAAATAGAAATAAATAAAAAAGAAATAATAATAATAGTGACAAAAAAATAAATAAATTAATACTAAATTAAATAAAACATTTACATAGTCACAGAGTTTTGATAGTACAATAAGAAAGTATTTAACAGTAATGTTTGCCTATTGAGTTTGATTGCATTATCCTTATAAGCATAGAGCTCTATAAGTTGTAGTTTGGAGGAAGTGTTGGGCCTTTTTCAAAGTATGAGATCATTGGATTCCATACTGTATAAAAACGTTTAGTAGATCCTCTAAGAGAGATTTCCAATCAAGCTATATTCTTCTCCGAGCCATTAGACATGAGAAGGCAACCAAAATTACTTGAACTATGTGAACATCACTAACCTGATTTCACCAAGTAGGACATGCTCCTTGATTATCACCTCTGTTTATCCTGGAACAGCACTCCAATCAGAATGAAGGTCTATGTTTACTGTTTATATTAAGTTTTGGTTTACGATTAGGTCACTTCTACGTAATTGTTATCCAGCTGTTATTCCCCTCTGATTTTGGGAATTATTTACAGTTATGGTTGGGTTTAGGGGTAGGGAATAGGTGTGGATTATGTTTTCCAACAAAATGATGTTCCAGGATCAACATAAATGTTAATCCAGGATTGCTTCGTACTTGGCAAAATCATGACATGCGCGTAAACACACCTGTTGGAAGAGTTTGTCCCACGGGTCACCATGTGCTCCAGTATACTGGCGGAGCTGAGCCTCGTCGTCCTCCGTCACCGCAGACACACACACCACACCGGCGGGGAAGTTCAGCAGGTTGTAGAGGGTGGTGTAACTGAGAGCACCTGCAAGAGCACAGCAACACTTTACTCTGTGTTTACTGAATATTCACTCTTTTACTTTTCTTTGGCTTAGTCCCACTTTTATTAGAAGTCGCCACAGCGGAATGAACTGCCAACTATTTCGGCATTTTTTATACAGCAGATGTCCTTTCAGCCGCAAAACAGTACTGGGAAACACCAATATTATATATATTTTTAATAAAAGTCATTAAATAAGACTGGCTAAAAGAAGTAGCTCACCCAAAAATGAAAGTTCTGTCATCATTTACTCACTCTTCACTGTTTGACTTCAAAAAAATCAAAGAAATCCAAATTTTTTTTTAAGTTTTAAGTTTTAAAGTTTAATTATACAGTTATTTTTTATTTTATTAAGAAAATCTCCTCTTTACATTACATTTTTAATGACATTTATAGAGTTTTTGTATTATATTAACAAGATTTTATTAATTTATTTGCAGCTGGAAGGGCATCCGCTACATAAAACATGTGCTGGATAAGTTGGCGGTACATTCCGCTGTGGCGACCCCAGATTAATAAAGGGACTAAGCCGAAAACAAAATGAATAAATATTAATTAATATTAATTTGTTATTGGTTAATATTTTAATTTGTATTATGTCTCACATGTGATTGTGAAAACAAGGATTCTTTTACAAGATGCAAAAATACTTGAGTTCTTTCACGTTTTATTCTTGTATTTGGCCTTGGGTAATGAAAACAGACACAAAAATTCAAATAAATTAATATATATATATAATAAATTAATTTAATTAATTAAATTAAATAAGGGAAAATATGTAATAAAATAAATTAAATAAAAAAACATTAAATTAATTAATTAATTAATTAATTAATTAAATTAATAAATAGTTACCACTAGTAAAGTTGTATTGGCACAGCAATCAATGACTGATCAACAAATTAAATGTATTTTAGTACAAATATGCTGCTGAACCCAGGTTTACAGAACAAAGTCCATGTAAATAAATATAAGATAAGACCCGTACTGTTAAGACGGCCACAGTAGTGGAAATTGAAGGCTGGTCCGAGAATGGGACACAACAAAACATCCACATCCAGTCTCCTCCACTCCGCTATCACCTCCTGGATGTATTCCTACAGGTGAGAAAACACAAAATGAAATACGAATCATTTTAATATGCAAGATATGCCAGGAAACGATACTGTCACAATAACATGCTGGAACACATACAGTAATAATATAATCAGCAATAGGTTATTATTATTAGGCTTGCACTGTGTGAATGTTTCCCAGAGATGGGCTGCGGCTGGAAGGGCATCCTCTGCGTAAAAATGTGCTGGATAAGTTGGCGGTTCATTCCGCTGTGGCGACCCCGGATTAATAAAGGGACTAAGCCGACAAGAAAATGAATGAATGAATGTTATTATTATTAGGTTTGCACTAAATAGGGGGACACGGTGACACAGTGTGCAGCACTAACGCCTCACAGCAAGAAGGTTGCTGGGTCAGTTGGCATTTCTTTGTGGAGTTTGCATGTTCTCCCCGTGTTGGCGTGGGTTTCCTCCAGGTGCTCCGGTTTCCCCCACAGTCCAAACACATGCGATATAGGGGAATTGGGTGAGCTAAATTGTCCATGGAGTATATGTGTATGTCCTGGTCCTCCAGGTTGGGGTTGGGGGATAAGCGTTGGGCTAACAAGCCACCTCAAAAAAAAATAGATCTTACAAAACATCAATATGGTGTGGCTAAATATAAACTTTGATATAAATGGTCCTGAGAGTAAGTAAGTATGCACTAAATATGCTGAAGATAGAGTGAAGTGTGTTTCTGCGAGCTGTCTAAAACATTGCTAATAAGTCCTACTGTATATCGCTCTCATATAAGGATATGAGAGTGTGGCTTTTGCTCTCAAAAACGAATGAAAATTAACAAAATATGTTCATACTGTAATTTTGCGCAGGGTTCACAAAGAAAAACAAACATACAGAAACATTCCTCGTTATGTCTACAGTTTAGGGCAGGGGTGGCCAACCCTGTTCCTGGAGAGCCACCTTCCTGCAGATTTCAGTTGCTACCCATATCAAACACACCTGAACCAAACAATTAGGACCTGAACACCACGTGATAAAAAAAAAAGCAAACTACTTTCTGAAATCTGCAGGAAGGTGGGTCTGCAGGAACAAGGTTGGCCACCCCTGGTCTAGGGCAACTCTTAAAGTTGCTTAAACTCTTATAATAAAGCATTACCTCAACATTTGCATGCTGCCTCCATAATTCAGCTACAGACCTTGAAAAGAAATGCCATTATAAAAAACAGTTGAAGCAAAATTGCTTATAAACTCTTTTTTATTCTCACACAAAGCAATCAGTTGACTTTAGAAGACTAAATATTAATAATATTTGCATATTAACAAGGCTTAAGAGGCAGAGAAGTGGTAGTAGGCATCGATCTTCTTGTAAATAAAATCATAATTTTAACCAACGTTATGCAAATAAACTGAAATGAAATAAATGCAGCTTACGGTGATGCCCATAACAAATTTTCTGTCAAGGACAATAAAGTTTACTACTACTACTACTACTACTACTACTACTACTTACCCAAGTCCACAGGTGCCGTGCAAGCTTGCAGAAATCCTTGGAAACTGAAAAACACAAAAGTAATGACCAATGAAAAGCACACTATATTGAATGCATAAATCCAGAGAACTATTCACAAAACATTGCAAGGTTAAAAGTAGCTCCTGACTTGATGATTTAGGATAAACTCTAAAATAAGAGATGTCAATTCAATACAATTAATGGGTGATTTAATCAATAATATACATAATTCGCAGCTGTATTATTTCTAGAAACAAGCAAATAAAATAAGTCTCTTTTTTAATTCTTGACATTAAAATAAGATCCAAATCCCAGCAATTTTGAGTCCCGCCGTGCTGTGACACAGCAGTGTGGTTTCCCTGACAACTGATATTGATTGACAGGTGCCATAAAGAAAACCTACTTCGAATGGGCGGGGAAAACCAGCTCATTTGCATTTAAAGGTACATACGCAAAACAGCTAGAATTCCATCTGACCCGAATATTTACATTTTCAACATTAAACGATGATGAACAAAACTTTAGAGACACATTCTGGAGACACAAAAGACTAATTTTACATCTTATAAAATGGGTCAAATAAGTGCCCTTAAAGAGAAAACACTGTGCTAAAAACTAACTTGTTGCTATTTGGGAGAACTCTTATGAATAAACTAAAATGTTTTGTGAATTCAAGTTTAAATTGAGACATAATAAAACTGCTGTAATCGCAGAACTCACAAAAGGCTTGATCAGAAATGAAAGCATCTTCCTGATGAAGCGTGGAGAGCCCAATGTTACAGGCTGAGAGCAGAGACAGGGGTCAAGGGGGCCAGCCTTCCTGAAATCACAAACACACACGCACGCACACACACACACACACACACACACACACACACACACAATAAACAACATTATAAACAAGTCTTACGAATAATCACTATCATTAAGAGCGATGTTTTAAGATCAAAACCCTGGTCACTTACAGATGACTGAAGAGGGTTTCACCTCCATCACCCAAGATTCCCCTGAGAGCCAATTCATGGAAGATATTATAGAGCCGCAGTGGTTGGAAAGGAACAAACTAAAATGTAAAAACAACAGACTAGCTTTTTAAGTCTCAGATTATAATGGTTGTTTAGTGTATTGAGATAGTGTTTATTTGCAGATCAAACCTGTAACCAGCCTGGTGTAAGGGGTGGTTCTTTTTTCTCAAAAAGTCGGCCTTTTTGCAATTATACGTCTCATTTTTTATTTAATTATGACATTTAAATACTACATTTTAGTGACATTTTAAACACTACTCTGAATTAGCTTATTGCATGGTCATTATAGCCTTACTTTTTGACTATTTTAGCCAAATTAGTATTCAAATCAATTGTAATATGAACCACTTCTGGTGCTTCACCCCTTTTTATATGTTCATAGAAAAGTTAGTAATAAGCACTTATACACAAGTGTTTATGTGTATAAAGCATCTGTTTTGTGAGAAGTGCTTCTCATATGATATGTGAACAACCCGTACGGTGTTACTGTGACATTTCCTCGAGCGAGAATCACTTTCTGTCGTACACCACACCAACCAAAAGGGTACCATTGGTACTATTGATTCAGCCAAAAAAACTTTTACTGTTCATTAAAATTTGCATTTATAATTATGTTTTTATTACTGGTTTACATATCCACTGTTAACATAGTCAATTTGTGTACCGTGTGTCCCGCTCTCTCCAGCAGCTCCTTGGTCTCCCTGACGGCCCGAGCCATGCTTGGAGACGGCTGCAGGTAACCGTCTGTCTCATAATAACCAATCCTCAGGGGCTTTGAGCTCTCATACACCTGTTAATGCATCAGAGAGATAAGATCATCATCGAATACAGGCATATGACTTATGTTATAGTTAGCATTTGAAATGAACTTAATGGCCAATTTGGTGTGTAAATCTTTAAAGAGCAGGTCATGTGGTATTTAAAGAAGTCCTAATATTGTGTTGGGAACAGGTTCAAATTCATCTAAGTTCTGAAAATATTGTAATTTTCTCAAAATTTATATTTATTATTATAATAATTTTGTTATTAATTTGATATGGTTTGTTTGAATGGATTCGGGGCTTGTGAATAGGCAAAATAATCTGCAATGGGCAAGCAAAGCAATCTTATGTCAAAACGAAAAACAAGATTGGCATATTATATAGCTTGTATGAGGGAAAAGCACACTTAATTTTGCCATATTTTTCCTTAAAACAAGACAATATTTTGAGCTTGTATCGAAATTTGCTTCTTGATTTAACCCTTTTGTGCTGTTGTGGGTGTTTTCATCCAGTCTGTGCTGATTTTGAGTATTATTTGGCCACAAATAATACCCAAATAAATTGGTGTTTAAGCAAATGGAATGATTTTTGGCTACAAATCTTATTTTGACTCATATTTTGGAAAAATGCTTTGAAAAAAATCTCAACAATACACTTAAACTTTCTACCCTTTGGTTATGTTGTCTGTTGTTTTTGCCCCATTGACTTTCAATATAATGTGTCAGGGTTCTGCCACTCCAGTCTTGTAAATTCTTGTTTTGGTGGTAGAGTCCAGACACAAGTTCTGTCTTGTTTTGTATGTTGTGCTCGGCTCCAGTTTTTGATTAAAGATTATTCATTTAATTCGCAACAATTGGGAATAACTCATTTATTCATTTTCATGTCGGCTTGGTCCCTTTATTAATCTGGGGTCACCACAGCGGAATGAACCGCCAACTTATCCTGCAAGTTTTTATGCAGCGGATGCCCTTCCAGCCGTAACCCATCTCTGGGAATCATCCACACACACATTCACACTCATACACTACGGACAATTTAGCGTACCCAATTCACCTGTACCGCATGTCTTTGGACTGTAGGGGAAACCGGAACACCCGGAGGAAACCCACATGAAGGCAGGGAGAACATGCAAACTCCACACAGAAACGCCAACTGAGCCGAGGTTCGAACCAGCGACCTTCTTGCTGTGAGGCGACAGCACTACCTACTGCGCCACTGCCTTTCCCATTGGGAATAACATTAATAACAATTGAATAACATTAATAACTGCAACAGTCCATAACTATTTGCAGCTTCAAAATTGAATATTTTTGACAACATTCCAAATAAAGCTTCCCAAAAAAAAATGTATGTACTGCTAAACAGTGAGAACGAGCAGACAGGCCATCAGTTGCACAAACATTGACATTCTGAACCTAGCGTAAAGTCAATGAGTTTAAAGAATCGAAAGTCTCTCCTAAGTTGACCTCCATGCAAAATATCCACTTGTTCTCACTCCAGACATCTCAGATGATAATAATTTATATCACAGGACGGGATGTTCTTTTCCCACATTCTCAATTTCATGGCAGCAATCCAAAAATATATATCTGATCTCTAAACAGGCAGTAGTTCACTTCACGAAGATACAAAGTGGCGTCAATGAGTTGCAAAAAACGTGCTTTTCTCACTTTTTCCAAGTCCAAATATCAAAACATTCCTAAATCAAGAAGCATTTTACAAGACAAGTATAACATTTTGTCTTGTAAACAGAAATAAGATGTCCAAATTAAGTGAGTTTTTTCCTTAAACAAGCTGCCAATGGGCTAAGCAACATAATCTCATTTTCGTTATGTAATTAGTTTGTTTTGCTACCCTATTTGCAGATTATTTAGCTTGTTTTAAATGAAAAACTCACTTAATTTTAATTTATTATTTCTGAAAACCATGCAATATTAAATGTCTAAAAAAATACTTCTTTATTGAAGGATTTTTTTTATATATTTGGACTAGAAACAAGACTGTAATAATAAAGGTTATGCACGGTTATAGTTAATACAGAACCTCTTGGTTGAATGGTAATGGAGGGATGGTGGGGTCCAAGCTGAACATGTCCTGACAGAGTAGCGCCCTCATGCACAGTGCCAAGCTCTCGACGTCTCGTGCCAAAGGCCCAATAGAGGACAAAACTGCAAATCAGCACAACAAAACACTGATTCTGTCTGGTGCAGCGTAATACTAGAACAGCAGGATTACAAACATGATCTTACCTGACTTTTGGCCTTTCACACAAGTGTCAATTCCTCGTGTACTAAACAAAGAAGAGGTTTTAAAATTAGTATTCATTCATTTATTCATTTTCCTTCGACTTAGTCCCTTATTTATTAAGGGTCACCACAGTGGAATGAACTGCCAACTATTCCGGCATATCTTTTACTCAGCGGGAGCACTTCTAGCTGCAACCCAGTACTGGGAAACATGCATACACACTCATTCACACACACACTCATACACTACGGCCAATTTTGTTTACCCAATTTACCTGTTTGGACTGTGGGGGAAACCGGAGCACCCAGAGGAAGCTCACGCCAACACAGGGAGAACATGCAAACTTCATACAGAAACACCAACTGGCCCAGTTGAGACTCGAACCAGTAATGCTCTTGCTGTGAGGCCACAGTGCTAACCACTAAGCTACCCTTACTTCAAAAACAAGCTTTCTTCTCCAAATACAAATGTTGTCAATATTGCATACACACCTTAGCCTTCTAGCTGTCGGCTTGAACCCACAGATCCCACAGAAGGCTGATGGGATACGAATGCTCCCACCAATATCAGTGCCCAGGCCCAGAATGGAGCCTCCTCCTCCAATCAGAGCTCCTTCCCCTCCGGATGAGCCGCCGGATGTCTTTTGGAGGTTATAGGGGTTTAAGGTTTGTCCAAAAATGGGGTTACCGCAGTCATAACTACAGCAGATACACAAAACAGAGGATTTGGGTTGGGTACAGTAGACCAATATTGCAAGGTGCACACCACAAGGATCTGTAACATCCAGTCAGGATTATAGCTGACTAGCTTAGCCCCTAACCTGATTTTAACAAGTAGGACATGTTCCTGGATTGACATCTATATTGATCTGGGAACAACATTGCAATCAGCCAATCAGATTTAAAGGATATGTTTACAGTTTATGTTAAGTTTAGGATTGCGGTTAGGTTTATGCACTTCTACATGACTGTATTCCTCTCTGGTATTGGGAATAATTTTCAGTTATGGTTGGGTTTAGGGGTAGAAGATAGGTATGGATTATGTTTTTGAATAAAAATGGTGTTCCAGGATCAACATAGATGTTAATCCAGGATTGCATCTTACTTGGCAAAATTAGACGCGTGTTAACTAGCGCAGCAATTCTGGATATTTAACCACAATATACTGAATGTTTGTAGAGTTTGCATGTGTGTTTAAAGGGAAAGATCACCCAAAGACGACAATTCTGTCTTTATTACCTTGTAACAAACATCGTCTTTTTTTAACACAAAACCAGACTTTTTTTTTTTTTTTTTTGCGATCAACGTTTTATTCTCTTTAGATTAACAAAATAAAAGAAATTTAAACAAACAAACAGGGGAGGAGCAACAGACATTTCAACAGTTAAAAAAAAAAAAAACACCTTTACATGGTCATTCCTTTATATATCCCTGCTGAAAAATCCAGTTTAAACCGGCATAGGCTGGTTGGCTGGTTTTAGCTGGTTGACCAGCCTGGTTTTAGAGGGGTTTTGGCCACTTCCAGGCTGGTTTCAAGCCATTTCCAGCCTGGTTTTAGCTGGTCTGACTGGAAAATGACCAGCTAAATCCAGCTAAAACCAGCTTGACCAGCCAGGTTTAAGCTGGACATAGCTGGTTTTGGCTGGGCTCCCATTCTGGCTAGGTTGGTCAAGCTGGATTTAGCTGGTCATCTCCCAGCCTGACCAGCTAAGACCAGGCTGGAAATGGCTGGAAACCAGCCTGGAAGTGAGGAAAATTTCCAGTACCCTGTTGAATCTATGCCATGAAGGATTAAGGCAGTTTTGAAAGCAAAAGGGGGTCCAACCCGGTACTAGTAAGGTGTACCTAATAAAGTGGCCTCATAAAGTGTATCATATATACACATATACTGGAAAAGGCTGACTTTGAGATATTTTGGTTTTTCCTGCTATATACAGTAAGTCAGTCTTTTCCAGTTTAGCGAACCTCTAGTCTGAGTGGATACAAGTCATTTTCCAGAACCTTCACTCTCTCTGTTCCTATACGATGAAACAAGCATTTCTGCAATTTGCATTTTCACTTTGACCTCTGATCCACCTGCCATAAACGGTTTAATGATTGTAGAGCCTTGGGTGTTTGTGACTGATGTTAAACCACTCTTTAATAGGTCTTTTTGAACTGTGGGTCTTATCTCGGGAAAATCACAGTATCACCATAAAGTACAGCTTAGATCTTATATATTCTTATATAATAGTTAACTGTAATGCCACAACACAAGCCCTCAATTTTTACAGATGCCAATAAAGTGAGTTTAAAATCTCGTTTTGCAGGAGAGAAATGAATTAGTAGTATTGGGTGTAAAGTGTCTGTTACTTATATCAGACACAAAACCATATAAAAATGGCAGCAAATAAACTCCAACAGGTAAATTTCATTATCACTGCCAAATCAAACAATATAAAAACAGAAATTATTTTCTTCATAAAGAAAAAAAACTACACGACAAAAATTGAAATAAAGCCAATACATGTGCTTAAGTCTTAAGATTAATGCAAAACAAATTAAACTGCATGTCTAATCTCTATGTAATGAGCTACTAACTGCATGGTACACTGGTACAAGATTAAAAGGATAGTGCATCCAAAAACTTACAAAATTGACAATCAATTTCCTCAGCCTCTCCATTAAAGAAGTAGGAGATCTTTTACTTCAATAGAACATTAAAACAAGCAAACATTAAATAAAGCAAGTCAATGATTAGTGTTTTTTGAGATAAAAAATGAACATGTATAAACAAGTTTAAATCAATCCCCATGACTCCTAACTGAGGTCTAATGACGTGAAACAATCCTGCCCTGGACAAACTGTTCTAATTAGATGTGTACAAATTGTGTGAGCATGAGCTTCTGACTGCTGGAGGTTGCATGCACTCAGGCATGAGGTGTCAGCAGATTGAGGAGGACACATGTTGGAAAAGTGGCAGAAGGTCGATTTTTTGTAATGAATCATTTATTGAGCTGCATCCCAATCATTACAAATACTGCAGAAGACCTATTGGAACCCGCATGGAGTCAAGATTCATAAATCAGCCAGGTTTGGTGAAGGAAACATCATGGTTTGGGGTTACATTCAGTATGGGAGCATGCGAGAGATCTGCAGAGTAAACAGCAACATCAACAGCATGAGGTATCAAGACAATTGTGAGGCCCATTACATTACAAACCACAGGAGAGGGCGAATTCTCCAGCAGGATAGCGCTCCTTCTCATACTTCAGCCTCCACATCAAAGCTCCTGAAAGCAAAGAAGGTCAAGGTGCACCAGGATTGGCCAGCCCAGTCACCAGATATGAACATTATTGAGCATGTCTGGGGTAAGATGAAGGAGGAGGCATTGAAGATGAACCCAAAGAATCTTGATGAACTCTGGGAGTCCTGCAGGAACGCTTTCTTTACCATTCCAGATGACTTTATAAATCAGTGATTTGAGTCATTGCAGAGATGTATGGATGCAGTCCTCCAAGCTCATGATGGAGTCAGACACAATATTCATTCTGTTTCCACTGCAGCATGACTTTTTATATTCTATACTGGACTTTATTTCTGTTCAGTGACAAAAATTTTGTCTAAGCAAAAGTCAGACCTTATTGCCCTAATTAAATAGTTTAAAATCCATGATCATATTGTATTTTGACTAATTAAGCGTAATCTAGAGGCCTTTGCCTTTTATATAAGCCACTTCTGATACCAAATGATCAACTAGAAGTCAAGTTATTATTTGTTGGTTCTAAAACCTAGATAGGCGACAAGACTTTTATCATGTAAAATATATACAACACATATGTCAAAATATAGCGAAAATGATTCTTTACATGTATTTATTTTCAACCATTGGAATTTTGAGATGTAAATATACTGTTTGTTCAAAAATGTGTTCATATATATACATATATATATATATATATATATATATATGTGTGTGTGTGTGTGTGTGTGTGTGTGTGTGTGTGTATATATATATATATATATATATATATATGC